TCTTCATCATCATCAAGTCTCTTCTTCCCTGGGGGGACATAAGGCCACAACGAGATCCTTCCATCTATCCCGGTCTTTTGCTATGATAGTAGCACTGTTCCAAGTGAGACCAATTTCTTTAAGTTCCTTTTCTATCGTACGCCTCCATGTTATCCTTGGAGGCCTACTTTCAGTTTCCCTGGTGGTGTCCATCTTAGAGAGATCTTCGGTGTTCTTTCGTTGGGCATCCTCAAAACATGGCCAAGCCATCTAAATCTGCGGAGTTTTATTTCAATGCTGACACATCTACTCTTTGTTTTTTTTAATAATTCATTAATAGATATTCTGTTTGGCCAGAATATCTTACAAATCTTTCGTAGGCATTTGTTGTGGAAGGAATCTAAGCATCTAGTATCTAGTTTTGTTATTCGCCAACATTCTGATCCATATAATAGTATAGATTTAACATTGCTGTTATACAATCGAATTTTTGTCTTGAGGCTGAAGTTGTTTGATTTCCATATTGGACGGAGTTGGACAAAGGCATATTGTGCTTTTCCAATTCTGGATTTGATGTCATCTTTTGGGCCATTATCAATACTGATGATACTACCAAGGTAAGTAAAGCTATCAACAGATTCCAGCTCTTTACCATTCACAAAAATTTGAGGCTTAGTTCTGCTGTTGAAAGTCATGATTTTTGTTTTTCTTGAGTTTATTTTTAATCTGACTTGTTCGGAAAAGTTTTCTAGTCTAGATGTCTTTTCCTGGAGATTTGCTGTATTTGACGAGATTATAGCAAGAACATCTGCAAAGTCTAGATCTTCTAAGACAGAAAACAGGGTCCATTGAATACCTCTACGTTTGTCGGATGTTGTCTGCTTCATTACCCAGTCTATGGTCAGAAGGAAGAGAAGAGAAATAATATTATCTTACTAGTAGATATTCTGCCCCACTCAATTACGTTGATTTATAGATAAGAAGCTTCATGTAAAGGTGCACTTAAATCGATTTTATCTTAATAAAAGATAGAAATCACCATCCTATGTCCTTGTGTCTATTTCACCGTCAGCTGACGCAAAGTTTTTCCTTGCTTTGTCGTTAAACAGATCCATCAACCATAGGCTTATATAGATCAAAATGCAAAATACGTTACTAAAAAACGACATTGTTTTATATCGGACGCTTGCGTCGTCATTAAAACGAATTCATCACCGGATTGGGATACTTACAACACAAACTTACTGTACCATGTTTTATTTGTTCGAAAAAATATATATTTAAGTTCCAATCTTGTAGTATATAATATATATTATACTGACGCAAAGTTTTTCCTTGCTTTATATATATAAAATATATATTTAAGTTCCAATCTTGTAGTATATAATATATATTATACTGACGCAAAGTTTTTCCTTGCTTTGTCGTTAAACAGATCCATCAACCATAGGCTTATATAGATCAAAAGGCAAAATACGTTACTAAAAAACGACATTGTTTTATACCGGACGCTTGCGTCGTCATTAAAACGAATTCATCACCCGATTGGGATACTTACAACACAAACTTATTGTACCATGTTTTATTTGTTCGAAAAAATATCTATTTAAGTTCCAATCTTGTAGTATATAATATATACTTTAAGATATGGGCGTATCACATTGATCTCTGTTATTTGCGGTGCGTCAAGAACTGCTGTTCAACTACGCATGTACAATAAAGTGTGAAAGATCCGTTTTAATAATTGAATTTGAATTCGTAACGAAACCTTATTGGCCACTTTTTTCACACTCACAGATTCCTCTTTAAAATACTGCTTTAAAAATTGCTTACTTTTACTGGTCAATTAAGAGATGCACAGAATTTATTTAGATTAATAATAAATTGACTTACTGGGTGGTGGGTTACATGTACATGTTTCACAGCCGTCTGCATTTGTTTCAAAACCATATTCACACATCACCGGAACAATTCCACAATTCTTTGGCTCGTGCCTATATATTAAAAAATCAACAGCGTAAAGACAGCGATTTATATACATATATATATATATATATATATATTATATATATATATATATAGGCTATGTATATATATCATCAATTTACATAATATACAACAGGCCTATATATTTATTTACATGGCAATCGCCTTGGTGGCAGGTTGGAGGCGCAAACCCCTCCGGAGAACCTTTCGTACAGCTGATAAGGAATTTTTCTTTGAAGAGTTACCGTACACGTACACTTGGTACACCTATAACAAAACATGAAGGTAAAATAGGCAAATGGTAAAACATAGACGCCAAAAGTCGCATATTGCAATGAATTTTAGTAAAGGAACACAGAACAGGGATTTAACAAGTATGAATAAAGTGATTTAAATCCTCCAGAGAACATTTCGAACTGATGATAAGGAGATTTTCTTTGAAGAGATACATGTATGCTTAATACGATTATAACAATGTTGTTTACAAAAAAAACTAGAGTTAAATTAAGCGGACATCGTAATGATTGAATTCTAAAGAACACAGAACAAAACAGGTATGAAGAAAGTGAAAATAATTCAATCGTTGAGGGAGTTGTAATATGCCTGCATTAATTTTCCATGTAAATTAGTGGTTATGACGTTTGGCCAGGTACGTGAAAGGTCCTGGGTTCGAGTCTCGGTGGAGGCTGAGTTTTTTTCTTTCTTTGTCAGATTCATTCTCAGCTGTGAGAAACAATGGCTGGATCTCCGTAGAGATACAAAATTGATAAGCAAAAGCTGAATGTAAACGTAACAGCCAGAAATATAACCAGAGCTTTGTGTATAAATAATAATACTGTAAGGAAGAGGTAGAATGTACATAAAGGAGGACGTATGCTTCTACTGTATACAGTAGCCACACATTTATGTGATACATTATTAAAGTGCTAGGTACTAAAAATGTTCAATAAATAAATTAAGGTTTAGGATTATATAATTATATTTACAAAGTGTAATTAAATATTGGTTTGTAATAATTAGTTTTCTGTGTTATTAAACTACGGTTATTATATCTTCGATTGGCGACTCTAAAATCTTTCGAGCGTTTGCTTATTATCAAGATGAGATGATGTAATACTTGTGGGCCTGTGATACCAATTACAGTCAATGGGGCTGGTTCACTATTGTGTCTGCTTGCACATCAATTAGACAGATAGAACCGATGTGCGTAATGAGCTGCACTAAAAAACTACGCTCGGCCACTTTTTCTGAGCACTGTCACAATGACATCACAAGGTGTTATCCATAAATAGCTAAGGCTACTTTGATAACGTACATACATCGACAGAAAGACGCAGAAGTTCCCCGGTTGCCGTTTGATTGCAAGATGAACGACCAATATCATCACACAGTATTACTGCTCATAGTTTTGACGGGTTTTATCACACAAGTAAATGGTAAGTAGGCCTATATGTCATATTTTAATATTCTATTTACCTTTGTAATTACCAATATGGCTGATACAGGACAGAGATCAATTCAGGAAGACTTAGGCCTATCATAAATATTCACAAGAATATATAAAGTAAATGTGATGGTGCTCATGCTTCCTGTATTAAACTTAATATTTACATGCATTTATTTGGCCTAGGCCTATAGGCCTAATTTTTTTTTTTTTTCGAAAGCAGCAGCCGCGACTTACCCATTGTTATACATTAAACACATATCAGAAAAGAATACCGACCATACTAGACATTGAGAGCAGCTTAGCTAAGTCGGGTAATCTGGTGGTAGCCGCTGTGTGTGCGCTGAACCATGGAGTTCTCTAGGTCCCCGGTTCAATTCCTATCGCTGCCTCTCCTTGTGTTTCAGCTAGAGGGCTGAAATACAAGTTACAATAGCGCACCGTCTTTCAGATGAGACGTCTAAGCCGTTGGTCCCGTGTGCATTATGGCCCATGTGCACGTTAAAGAACGCAGTACACTCTTCGGAAAAGAGTAGGGGATTGTCTCCCGGTGTACTGCCCAATCACCACCAGAAGGACCCCACTTGAAATAAGTCTTCTTCTAGATTTTCGTGGGCTATCCTTGGTGTTTACACCGAATAAATCCAATCCAATCCAATCCAACAGCGATGATAATTACAAAGACTATATGTAATTTCCTAAGTTAGGAAAAAAACAAAAAAAAAACAAAAACAAAACGTGCACGTGTTTGGCTCCAGGCAAAAGCAGTTTCGAGAAGCGCAATTCTTGTTTCACAGGTCGTCCGCGTATTTTGTATATACCTTCATGAGTTGTCGGAATAGAAGCTTTCGGTGTGTGGATCATTCTCCACCCAAAAACGGAACAATCGTTAGAATGTTGGATGTAACAGAGTAAGAGAAAATCCGAATACCCACCACCCTACATTAAGACATCTAGACTTGGTTACATTTCATTTATTTCGTCCAACAAATAGAAAACGAACAGAAATAACAATACCAAAAGACAGGATAAACAAAAAGCAAACTAAATTGCTGTACAAAGTTTCTCTACTGATTTAAGGAAAAATACATAAAAGAAATATATAAATCTCTGTTCTCTGGAAGTAAAATCTAGCAAATAACGGCCAAGGCCAATAGAAAAAGTTAATAAGTAAGAATTTTAAAATAAATTCCAGCAGAGCACAGCATCTAAGAAACAATGTATTTTCACTCTCATGGAGCCACTAGAAAAAGCATTGTGGGTAATTCTCAGAAACTCACGTAACCAAGGCATTTACATGGTTCGGCCAATTTTCGAGCAACTTTCAGCCTCCCACCCTCAATAAACCAAACAATTCACCCCATTGAATTAAAAACCCATCAAACTAACACAAAATGCTTCGGTTTCATGAGTCCTCGCCTATTTTGATCCCCACAAACTCTTATCTTTGAACCTACCAGGTGCATGGGCGCCTTTGGAGATTTGACTCCCATAAGAAACAATTCAGCAAAAACACCTGCGTTCCCACCAACCGCTCTAATGTCAGATAGAAAAAAAAACATTCTGAAATCTAGATCTTCTCTAATTTTGATTTATGATATAACCTACCAAAAGAACAAAATCCATAAACTATAAAATAAACAATTATTGGCCGCCAATCTTCAATGAGCAAGAGGATGTAATGTTTGTAATGTACTTATCTTCTCTCTAATTCAGTTTCATCATCATCAGCATGTAAATCATCATCATTGTCATCGTGATCATAATCATTATCTTCTTTTTCTTCTTCATCTCATTATTATTATTATTATTGTTTATTATTATTATTATTATTATTGTTTATTATTATTATTATTATTATTATTATTATTATTATTAATATTATTATTTTTTATATTATTATTATTATTATTATGGTATACGTGGGTCATTAAGGTTACTAACTATTATTATGCGTACTTTCGTTGACAACATCCTACAAGTGAAAATAAATGACGCACGCCGAATCGTATGATCCTGCTTGACGCCACCATTTACATATTCACCCATGGTCTTCAACTAGCCTTTTCTTTTTTGACAGTAAGAAATATTATACTTTCCTTTTCTACTTTACCAATCAGAGCCAAATATTATCACCGGTTTCCACGGCATCTGTTAATTAGTAGCACCGTTGCTTACTCCAGCTGACGTAGCCAGCTATCTTTCAACGTCACTTTGTTTTTTTGGTTTTTTTTTTTCAATAATCCTTTACAAATTAACTGTATTTGCCCTTCGTTTACTTTTCAACCCGGTTCTTTTTAGAGCCCACTTTCCAGGTAATGACTTATCTACAAATACATTATTATGATTATATCCTAGTACTCAAATTGTGTTGTAAACCTACGTGTTTTTGTATGATGAGGTTGGCAAACTCGCTCAAAACCAATTTCCCGACCAAACGCATTGGTCCCGACTCACTGGTTGAGGACATGGATTGCTTCCTTTCATTGTCGAATTCTGAGGAATAGACGGTTCGGACTACCAGCACTTCGGGGGCACAGAACAGGGCACGTCCCAGAGTGGCCGAATTGAAGTGTCGCCAAAATGAGCCTAGACAGCAAGCTTCCAGGGCTTCATAATTTCCGTGTTGATTAAGTTATTTTATTATCAATTCACAACCACAACAACAAGTTCAGAACTAAAAACCTCCCAGTTGATAAGAGGTGAAATTTCCTGTCTTACCGGACCTCCAAAACTCCTAGTTACGCCCCTCTCCGGACTCATATTTTTAGAGTTCATAATATTGTGATCAAAAAAGTATAAACATAAACTGTTAAAAAAGAGATTCTCCGATGAATTGCCAAACATTAACAATTTGAGTATAGGCTCTAATAGTACCAAGTTTACAAGCTTATCCAAAATTGTGCTTGTCCAGTTTCATGAATTTCTAATTCAATTCTTACTTTTTTTTTTTATATCAAAGCTTGTTTAATTGATTTAATGTATAGTTTTGTTGTCCTCTAATTTATTTAAAAATCACCATCTTTCACATTGTATTTTTTGACAACCAGTCAATCAGCTCTTAAATTTACGCTCTTACATAATTTAATGTTAATTAATAAAATTCTTTTCTCTCGTTATATTCGAGTGCAATTTCGCACAAAAAATAACCGTTTTGTCATTGGTGCTAGTTACTTGGTTTTGTGTATACCTATCAATCATACTTAGTGACGTGAAATATATGGTATCAATTTGATTTAGTTACGCAGTCGGTTTGCCAGGCATGATGGTACGTAGACGCAACGCTGATATATCATATCAGGGTGCAGTCGTGTGAAATGCGTTTCATAAGGATCTATTGTCTGACAGCATGTGAGATAGTTCAATATGATCATCAAGCACACCCCCAATTAAACAACGCGCTTTCAAACTGTTGTATTTCTCATGTGTTCACGGGATAATGGTTAAGGTGGTTATCGCGTTGATGATACATGGAGCATGGGCGTATTGAATTTGAAGATGATGCATGTTTTTCGGACGTGTGGTGTTCACTCATAGTGCTATCATGAACCCATTATGTATTACCACAAGGCTAATATGTTATAAATGAGTTCCGTCTACAAGGGTTTCACCAGCAGCATGCATAATTAAAAATAAAGAAAGTGTTTTTATTCTACACTAAATAAGAAGAAGTGTATGGCTATACAGAATAATGATATTCATCATATTATTTTATATATATTTTATTGAATTTTCTCTGTTTTTATTTAATACACGTCTGTAGTATTCATAATCGGGATGACTAGTATATATAA